TGCAGGAAACAGCACGTTCTGGTATGCTGCAGCAGGGATTACAGGTCGTTCAGAAAAAGAACGATACTTTGGGGAAAAATATGACATCGGAAAGAGGCAGGGTTGAAGCAGTGCGTATCCATGGCAACGGCAGCAGTCCACTGTGTATTTTTTTAGAGAAGAGTGTGATGATTGCAAGGAAAGGCAAATGGATTCCCTGTGGGGTTTACCTCTTTGTAGATTTGCCCCCTTTTTGAGAAAACCATTACTGAAAATGGATGTGTGTGTTTGCTAGAGTGAGTGTGTGTATGTTTGTGAGTGTGTGTGGTGGGGGGGTACGTTAAGAGTGTGTGTGTGTGTGTCTGTGTGTGTTTGATCTAGCTCAACACAAAGCCATCAATACTAATGCATTATCAGAGCACACGTGTGTTATCTCCTCCTTTCACGTTTGATACATCCAAACATTTGAGATCACTTGATGTGGTTCCATTACACACACACACACACACACACACACACACACACTTATTGCTTTTACTTTGTTTGCTCTCTTTCTCTTTGTTCTTCACTTCAATGATTTGCTCCTGGATCATAAAAGAGAGGCCGTGGACCAAAAAGGTAAACTTAAGGTTTAAAATAATTTTTAGATTTTTTTTAGATTTTCGTTGGTCACCCTGTATCAGGTTTTAAATTTAGGATTGTTTTGATCATTTCAAGAAAAGTTAGCAATTCATTATTTTCCATACCAATATTAATAATCCACCAGAAGAATGGTAGAAGGAGTGGAGTTGGGCAGGGTGGACTTTGTTGTTCCTTTTAATACAAAAATTTACTTGATAAATGTCATTTAGGATTTCTGGTATTTGCTTGTACTCAGTTCTATTGCACTGGTTTTACCTTGTAAATCATTTATAATAAAATAAAAATAAAAAGTTATTAACTATGTAATTTCCACGCTGGTTTGAGTCTCTAGATTGACCAATCACAATTTGTTGCCCGAAGGTAAACAGACTGTGTGGAGATTGAGAGAGGAAGAACACATGACTGAATCGTTTTTTAATTGATCTGCATTCATATGCAAGTAGCCTTTCATATAGATTCACCATCACTGTTTGTATTTTGTGTGGAGAATCGTTTAACTGTGATAAAGGAAACTAGTCGGACGGAAACATTTCCCAAGTATCTGTTGTCTAAGCCGAAGCCCCAAAATATTGCCCCAGAGGCTAACTTGTCATTTTGTCATCAGACGATAACCAATGGGCTACGAGATAGTTACATCTGTGAACATACAAGTATCATATTTGATTTTGATAATGGTATATATAGTGCATACAATGTTCACACACCTGTGTCCACAATCTTTGTGCATCACGAGCTGCAATACACTTTATAGCAGCATTTACTAAGCAGCTTGTCCACCAAAGTGCACATGCTCATTGAAATTCACAGCAATTTCCAGCATGAATGCATAATGTAGCCCCCACCTCGATCTCTTTTAGTCTCTCAAACAAACACACACACACACACACACACACACACACACACTACACACTACACACATACACCTGACAAACAGTTTTGTGTGTCAGGTTTGCATTGTGCAGCAGGCTAGAGCGAATTCACTGCTCCACTATTACAACAACAGTGCAGGGTGTGGGAGAGAAGCAGAGTAAAACAAAATGAGGGATGGTGTGTGTGTGTGTGTGTGTGTTGCTGTGTGTGTGTTGCTGTGGGTTGGACTCACATAGCCACCATATTCATTATCCCATCACCATCCACACACACTTATCTTAACACACGTGTAAACAAAACAGGATTTTAATAACTTATTCGTTTACTCACCACCTCTTAGACACAACCCACACCTTTACAAGCTCCGCATCCCACACATTCATCCACACACACACACAGACACACACACACACACATATGGCTGCCTCTCACTGTGCTCTTGTAGCTATTAGGTTAGTATCATTAAAGCTGTTTAGGCTAATTATCCCCCCTGATGAGCTACAGGTCTCTATGGGGGAGATCCAGCGTGATTGACTTGGCCTGCTCTATTCTCAATGAGCCATTAGCCTAAACAGAAATACACACACGTACAATACTGTACACACACACACACACACACACACACACACACACACACACACACACACACACAAACACACTGGCTTGTGCTAATGTAAGCCAGCTCCCCATATTCATTTACATCCTCGTGAAAAGACCTGTCAGCTATTAGGGGGAAAAAGTGTATGATGGAGGCGTGAGTGTGAGCGCGTGCGTGTTTGTCACTTTTCCTTTCTCATGAGCCAGGTGCCACAGGGGAATGCTGGGAATGTAAGCTGCTGATGAGTGATGGCGACAGTTTGCCCAAGAAACGGAGAGATGGAGTGAGATAGAAGGGGGGGGGGGGGTGATGCCTTGTGTTTACTCTTCAGATATTGCACCAACCGCTGATAAGCACTGTCACACCCCAGGAGAAAGATTTCCTCCTGTGGATCATCACTCATTTTAATTCCCTCATTAATCAGTTCATGCCGCGGCGTTTGGGCAATTGAGGGCGATACTTGTTTTTGGTGTGGGCTGAGCAACGCATGCCTGATTTATGAAAACCAGAAGAGACAGAAAGGAAGGGAGGGACGTTTAGAAATTGAGAAAAATTATTTACAGGGTCTTAAATACAGGGGGCGAAGTTGGAAGAGGAGGAGTAAGGGTTAACTATTAACAAATGTAAGCATATCATAGCTGACTGAGAAGTCTGCCACTCGGAGATATCTGGAATATGTGTGCGTGTTTATCTGAAGGGTAGAAACAACAGAGATGGAAGCAGGGCAGCTCTGTTGAATGTGTTCATGGCAGACGAATTCCTCTCACCAACAAGGTCGTCTTATCTCTACAGCTTCTGGTTGTGTTGGTCCATTCAAATCTTAGTAGGAGCTGAGGAGGGTGCATCTGACGTCAGCCAGCCAAAGCACATTGTTGTAGTTTCAATACAATCTGTGTTTCTAGAGAGAGACATTCCAATACATTCTTGTATATAAAACTGAGTGATAGCCAACAGCATGCCGCTAGGGAGGACTTGGTCATTATGTCTATGTTCATTCAATCATTTGACCTTTTTGGTCCAGGCCCACATATCACAACAGCTATTGGATGGATTGCGTTGAAACTTTGTACGGACTTTTATGGTCCTCAGACACTAACGCCTACTGAGGCTGAGGATCTCGTGACTTTTCCTCGGGCACCGTCGTGGCGCTGACATTTACATTTTTTAGTGAAATGTCCCGACAGTTGTTGGATGTGCTGCCGTGACATTTGGTTCTGATGTCCAAGAGAGGAGGAACTTTAATCACTTTGCTGATCCATCATGAGGTTCACTGCGTCCAGGACTTTGTTTCATGAACAAATAACTGCAAAACTGATGATAACAGTCTGATCAACAGTTGGCAAACACTATAACTGAATACATCCACATGTTAGCACTTTCACTGTGAGCATGTTGGCATTCATTTGTCTCTGTATGTTGGTCCTATGATACACATGGTGACCCCTTCAGGGTGTGTTGGCTGAGATAGGTTCTAGCTTACCCCACGACCCTCGAAGGATGAGCGGTACAGATGGATGGATGGATGGATAAATAAATTGATGATATATTAGCATTGAGCTGAAAGCACCTTTGTGCCACAGTACTGCCTCATAGAACTGGTAATGAGGCCTTGAACACCGTTATCAAATAAGTTAAAACTTTAAAGCAGGTGTTGGTCCATCACCTCCCGACTGTTTATTTCTGTTTAACTTCTTAAAATGACTTGCACTTGTTTTAGCTGCAGGGGAAATAAATAAAATGAAATAAGAAATGGGGTGTGATGTCTGCGGAAGCTCATAATATAACTCTTTTTAACTCCCAGAGAGCCGGTGGAAATTATTAGGGAGATGCTTCATATGTCTTAAGCAGACTGATAAATCAGGAGAGACATCACACCAGGAGGTAGACCACATTCAACTAACCACAGCAAACTGCATATTATTTAGGATTAAATCCACAAAGAGACAGATACATACTCCCACAGGATTTCAGGCTTGTTGTATTTGGTATGTTGCCTCGGGGAATGAGTGAAGTATCTATTGTATCTGTTGAAAAAACCAACAATTACAGACACAATAGCTGTTAAATAGATATCAGCCAAATCCCCAATAATTGTAAACAATGACTCCAAATTGAAAAAAACAACAACACAAACAGCAGCTCCGAAAACCCACAGCAATTAATATCACACTGTGGCATCACAGTTACCAGAGTCGGCCCCTCAGTTTGTCCTCTGACTCCCGCTGAGGTGGGAGAGGGAGCAGGGGAGAGGGGGTGAGGAATGGGAGAGAAATGCTGAGAACAGATGGCAGGGTCGCTCCTATATCTGCAACTGCACGGGTGATTATGGACACAGCTGTCAGTCACTTTGCATGGAAGTGTGTCTGTGTGCGCACATGTGATTTTGGGTGTGTGTGTGTGTGTGTGTGTGTGTGTGTGTGTGTGTGCAACCAACTCCTCTGTTCCACTGTTCCTTTGTGTCTCTGTGTTATTACGTTTGATCCATGTGTTTATTGCCTGAACACATTTTTGCAGACGTATTGATGAGTTCACATAAAACCCTGGAAAACACTTTGGGATTGACATCACCTGTCCACACAGTCATGAGCAGAGCTTTTCTTTCTCTCCTCTCACACAGGGATGTCTGCTCCGTGTGTTTATTTATGACTGGGCTTTAGCTCCATCTAGTGGTGATCTACATTATAGCTGCATGACTTTAATCAGGGCAATATTTGCATGGTGCTAAATTCCAAGCTAGGCTCATTCTGTTGATTTCTTTGTTACGACTGAAATCAAATATTTCAATCCTGAATAACATTTATATTACTTGCAAAATGGCAACCCATCCTTTTGATAGCTAACATTATTATCCCTCTTAACTGAGTGTAATACCCAAATGATCAAACTTGAATGGATTCATCTCTTTGGCCAGTCAGAGGAAGATGTGAACATAACAATGACAGACAGTTTTATTAGCTTATAAAGTTTACATGGTGTCGACGTGTTGGCAAACAAGAATGAAACAACATTGCATTCATTTGGAGTCAAGTTCTGATCATGTGACAAATATAACTCCCGTATTTACTCTCCTTGACCTCTGAGTGTGACTTCAGGCTCTTTTGCTGCTGTGCGCTCCTCTCTGCTCACCAGATGATAACTTGCACTGTCCACTGTTGTGAAAACGTTTGTTGGGGCCTTTTGCTCAAAACGTTAAAGTCAAAACCAAAACAATGGGCTAAAAGACGCTAAAAGCCTCTATAGATTTGATGTGTACTTCAGAACTGGATGATGATTCTCATTTATCATTCATCACGAGTCATTAATCCATTTTATTATTACAAAACAGTCGATCGGAGGATGTTGTCCTCCAGGAGGAGGCAGCCACAAGATTTAGAGGTTTTGGTGTTCAACATGTGGAACAAACAAATGTCCCCTGTCACGTCTAATTCACTCCCAGTGTCACACACACAGCAGCGTGTGTGGAGTTATGATGTAGTGTGAAAGAATCAGAGCCAATTAGCAGCAGCTATTAGCCAGCTGTGGAATGGGTTTACTGAGGCAAATGAGGAAAAAGGAGCAATCAGAGTAAAGGGTGCAGTAAATACCATGAATAAAACATAAAGTGTTACATTTTATTTTAATTTGTTATATTCTTTTTTTTTGAGTGTAGGATATATATTATATTCCAATCTGGATTTTGGGATTTTCTTACTTGTCTGGAAGGGTAAACTCTAAAAGTGTTGCAATAATTAGAATAAAGACTTAATCTAATTTGAGATGAATTAGTGTCTGAGGCCTCATGTCATTATCCTTGGAGTGGTCGCACTTGGCACAGTCGGTGTATTGTGGTCCATCACATTGTTGATCCAGTCGTTGTACTTGCACAGCTTGGTGTAGACACTCGGGTGAGATGGGTCTCTGCAGCCATGTCTGAACCACTGCACACCCTGCAGCTGGCCTCCGCACACCATCACACTGCCACCATTATCCTGGAGGGACAAGGGGGGGAGGGAGAATGAGCTACTCTGTTGTGACGGTTTATGGAAAATGCATTTAAAGAAGTGAGTTAAAATGAAAAGAAAATGCAGTGATACATGGGGGAAGACTGGGGAAAGAGAGACAGATTATTTGAAACTGCAGAGAGGTGAGGAATGTGCAGATCTAAAGTTTCTATTCATACTCACCAGGCAGTTATCTGTGTCCGCTTGACCAGCGCAGACCATGCCCAGGCTCCAGTACAGGTACTCCGGGAATGTATTAATACACGTCTGATCCTCCACAATCGGCACAGTTATACACTTCAGACGCTGATGAGGCTCGACTGTTTTGGAGAAGGATGAAGGTGAGTCATTGCCCTGATTCTTTCAAACTAAGTACTTCAAATCATGCTGGTACGTCATCCGAATTTATAACATAAATACAATTTAGTCGTCAGGATATATCCACCACCATTACTCATCAACCTGCCTCTCCTCCTCTCACAAAGGCTCCCTTTCCCCTGCCTACAGCAGGTCTGCAGATTAGTTTCCATTTTTATGCAGTGCCACTACTGGCACCGGTGCATAAGGTCTAAACCTTAAATAAATACCATTTTCAAGGTCTTCCGCTTTTAATTAGTCTCAATCACTGACTGGACATTTTGGCAGGCAATTAGAAACTCCTCTGATTAAAGAAACCCATTTTTACTCATTATTAAAATAGAGCGTTCATGCCTCGACAGGGCTGCGGTGACCAGAATATTGATGAGCCACTGATCAGAATCCAACGTTTCCCAGAATCATGATGAAAATAAAAAAGTGACAGAGCTTCTTTTTTGTATCTTTCCAGTTTTTGATAAATGCTCTAAAGAGGTCGATGCTACTTGTTCCAAGGACGTCAATCTGTGTAAGTGTTTTGAAGAGGACATAGGAGTCATGTGTAACCAATGACAGCAAGCATTTAAACAGGGTCATGTATGAAGAATTCTGTTGTCATTTCTAATATTTCAGTAGCAAAGACGTTAAGGTTATTCTAAATTAAGTTCCACAAAGACTCCAGAAGGTCGTATGCCAGTCCAAGGAATGGTCCTGTAAAGAAACCCCCTGACAAAACTACCAATAGGATTTTTTAAATGTAGTATTTTTGTGCTGATTAGGTAAACGTGATATAACATGTTATTTGAAATAATAAGAAATGCTGGAAGTAATTTATTTTTTCAACTGGACAGAGCCATGCTTGCTCTCAACTATTGCTTTAAAAGCTGTTCTCAAGGGAAAAGGTTTGTTTGCAATAGAAACCAGGAGCCTTTAGCTGAGATCTCACAGGGAAGCCGTAGTTTAAATCTTTGTAGGACAGGTAATATTTGAGGACTGGATTAGGGAACGCAGGTTTATCTTGTAATTACACTGAAGTCTAATGTGGATTCAAGGTAATGAGGTGTAAAAGCCACAGTATAGCACTTTTAAATTGACTTACAATGATTGGGCGTGGTGGAGCCCCAGCCACTGACAGAGCAGATCTCCCCAGGCTGCGGGCAGCGGCTGGGCAGAGGGATGGGCTGGACGTGCTGGTTGAAGCGAGCTGGCCTGGCCAGACGCACCATCGCGAGGCTGTGGAGGGGCGAGCGGTAGGGGCTGTGACGGATCACCTCGGCAACGTGGATGTGCTGCTCGGTTCCTTCCTCCACTGCCACATTGTGGTCTCCCAAGGATGCAATGGTGCTGTGGGGTCTGGGATGAGAGGAGGAGGTTTATAAAGATCTTTGAGGCCTCAGGCAGAAACAGGCCCACGACTAAGGAACTGTAAACCTTAATCAGACAAGAACAACAAGCTAATTGATGTTATTTATTAAGCAGGAATACAAGTTGAATTTGCAGTTGTTTTATTAACAGTTTCCAGTCTTATTAACACTAAGAACCAAATAATTAAATATCTAAATACAAAGACTCATCTCATGACTCTCTGTCTGACTCCTCTGCTGACACCAGGCAGATTATAATGTTATATTCTGCAGTTATTTATTAAAATGAGTGGGAAAATAAAAACACAAAACGTTCAGCTTTGTAATCTCGTCACGAGAACTGTGCGAGACACGACCGGAGCTGCAGGCTGAAGGTCACGCCAAAAACACTGCAGCGATTGAATTAAACGTTTCGAAAAAAATATGCTCGATTTAAATAATTCATGGTTGAATTTTAGCAAAGAGGAATATATCAAGCACTTCAGCCAGGTTTTAAATTAGCCCGAATGTGATGTAACTGCTGATTTTGGGAGGAAATTGGATTTAAACCAAAGCACGGCTATTAAGGAGAAAACCTTAATAACTGTTTCTGAAAACTGACAAATCAAATCAAGTTTAGTTATAAGACTATAAAACAAGAAAATACAAATTCATTCAAAGTTGTTATTTGGCATTAACAGCCACTAGTACCTACACGGGTGCACACAGAAGGGTGGTTACTATCCACCACTGGTCAACGAGAGCTCCGCTGCAGGACGCTCCTCCACCGTGCATGTACACCTGCCAGGGTCTGGAGTGAGGCTGGCACTCCTTGTTATCCCCCAGGGGAGACGCTCCTGCAAAAACAACGAGAACAAACTGAAACTAAAAGACTTTTCTAATATTCCTTCTTGTTCATTTTCGACACAATGTGGTGAGAATATCTACCTGCCAGTCCCAAAGCGAGCACCAGGATAAGATTCATTCTGTGCTTTGTTTTTGTTGTTGTGCTGTTTTTCTGTAGCTGAATGAGACACTGAACGATGACTTGTTTGATCGGCCGCTTCTTTATACCTGCAAACCTTCAACAGGTCAGTGGGAGGAACTCGCCGCTTTATTATCAGTCAGCTTCATTTCCTGTTCGGCTTGTGATAAACTTTGGAATTTCAACACGTCCATGATCGGTTATCGAGACGCACCCTGTTTCCTGTAGCTTTTTATTATTTTCCTGGCATTTGATGGAACATTAATGAGGATTATGAGAGCTCAGTGTTTATGGTCAGTCTGTGTGAATCGCACTCTACAATAGACAATTATGTCAGGGATGAATACACACTACAGCTTTTGCAGCAATACCAGAACTAATAATGAAAAAGATAAAGAGTGGAGATATGATTCACTCTCCCGGGAAGTTCACATCAAGTTAATATTTTACAACAGTGTTACTACATTTGTTAATATTTCCCCATGACGCAGTTTTAGAAAGGGCTGTTTTAAAATATCACAGATTACACAACTCTGAATACTCCTGGCTTCTTCACCAGTGATGTTGCTGCTGCAGGAGGCCGAGTCGATTATTACCTACCTGCTCTGATTGGATCCTTACCTTTAAAAATATTAAAGGTACTGCACAAATTAATTTGTCTTTATTGTAGATGTACACATAGACACAGTGGTCCAGTAGTATTCTTTTAGAAGTATTGGAATATTGTGATGCTTAAAATGCATGCAAATGTGAGTTTGTCCTATGGCTCTCTGTTACGATACAAATCTTTTGTACAACTATACACACAATGATGCTTGAAAGCAAATCTGTTGTTTGTGTCGGCTGCAGCTTTAGAAGAGGGCACATGTTGTAGATGTATGCATTAATTAAAAATCAGAGCTTGTTGATATTACACAAAACAAACTTCACACGCTCTTTGTTTTTGTGATTCATCTCTGGTCGGTTTCTCTACAGTTTACATCTTTTCATCCATTATTAATTGCGACATGGGCCTGCGTCCGGGGTGCTGCCTCAGCCCATGAAAGTCTGACGCCTCATCGCAGATTCACACAGATGTTAACACGTGATCCTTTGCATCAGGGAGATAAAAGAAAACATGACACAAACAGAACAGACATGAACAAATGACTCCATCAGTCGCATTATTAAAAGTATAATTCATCCACCAGACACAGTTTGTTTGTATAAATATTTTTATTTCAAGATAAGATACAAATATTTTTAATAGGTGGAACAGTGAGGAGACAAATTGACCAGTAGGTGGCGATAGATCATTACATTATTTGCATTTTGCCCATTCTGACACCCTGAAAAATTCATGAGAAGATGCTGCTTCTTTTCTTCTGCTCGCAAAGTTGTTCTCTCCATTTTCCTCAGGGCGAGCTTTGAGATGTTTATTTATCACACAGTCGGGTGCGTTGTTTCTGAAGATGCCATCTGAGTTATTGATGTTCGGGTGAGGTCAGATAAAGCCAGAGGTCAGATTGTCAAATGACGCTGTAGCCTTTCTCGTGGAGCTTTTAAAGTTTCAGTCACTGGAAATCATTTGTTTTTTTACTGATGGGAGTAGAAGAAGTGGTAAATCTGGTCACGAGCTATGTCGCTGTAGGTGGTCAAAACTAGGGAAGTATCCTTGTAAAGATTCCTGCAAGTTGCACACATAGAAGAAGAGTTCACAACGTAGATCTACACTTTAATTTTCATATTCTGCATTAATCAATCCGCCATTTTTTGCAATTCTCTTACTTTGCCTTCTCCTCCAGCTTCAGGCCCCTGATGCTGTCCAAGTATCCGCTGGCCGTGTCGACGGTGCCTTGATAGAGGGACTTGACTTTGTCTGTGATTTTGGTCAGAGTCCCCTGCTCCTCCTCGGCCTGCCTCACCACACGGAAGCTTTCAGCACCTGAGAAAGAGAAAAAAACAGACAATAGGTAAGTGAAAGAAACCAAAGCAATTTCTTTATCTGTTCAAACATCTATTTCAAACTCAGAAAAACACTTGCTGAGAGCGAGGAGCGCGACAAGGACGGCAACGACCAGCAGCTTCATCATGTCACTTGTATCTGTGAGGACAGAAAACAGTAACATTTAGTGCTCAACTCTTTTTATCCACTAGGGTGAGATGTTGTCATATGGTTTGATATATTTGGGTTGATATTCCCTGGTTTGATCTGTTCACTCCTCTAGCATGAAAACAAAACCTCTTCTGACCTCAAACATGCAGCTAATGTCAAAAATGTCAATCCTCTTTGTGCTCTATCTTGACTTTTGCACTGTATTCAAGCATTTTAAGACGTTTACACCCAGAGAATGAAGTTAAAGTGTCCGTACTCACTCTATTGCTTTCCAGAGACGAAGCTGAGGCCCTGTTTGCCCGACCCATTTATATAGGAGAGTAAACGTGTTGACTTGTCGCTCCCAGAGCCAAAGTGCACACTGTGGGAGATAAACCCGCACTGTTGTTGGGTTTGTGTTTGTGTCACATTGTGTCTTGATAAAAAACAGCATCAAATGGGAATTTAAACATTGTCAGGAATCGGTCAGAAGTTTAATCTCATTTGATTTGTATGAGGAGAGGGGCGGGTGGGGGTTATTCTCAATACACCTTAATCAGTGTTGTTTCTCCACTGATTACGTCAGTAGTTCATTAATGTAGCACATTCATTAACCTTTTCCAGTTCACAACCTTAGAGAAGGAGGTACTTGCATAACAGACGGCGATGCGTTTGTCTTACAGTGCAGCAGCTCTAAGATGGTTCCAAGTCTAGAGTGTGTTGAACACGTCATCCAGGCTAATTCAGGTTATGAAATGTTCAGGCCAGTTAGATAAGATTTATCGTGCCACAGTTGGAAGACAGCTCCGTCTTTATGACTTTTTCTTGTTCACTTCCAGCCCTCCTGTGAAATATAGGATCACCTGAACTCATTTAACACAGAATTTACTGGCAAAGGTCCTGGTGAAATATAAAATGTTTTTCCAATTGATTTGTTTTTGAAGATGTTTCCAGTGTTTGCGATTTGCACAATTACTAACAATAATGGTATTGGAGGTCCCACTCACAGATTCAGTACCTTTCTTTAAATCCCTGTATGTGATGTTACCTTGTTCTTTCTGGTTTTCGTATTATTTTAATTAAAACTACTGTTTTAATGTGATGCTTCTGGGCACGTGTCTTATGTGTAATTCCTGAACAGATCATGGCTCGACGTTTTCACCGGGCTTTACCTGTTGTGTCAAATACAGGAAGAATCAGTTTATAATACGTTTGTAATAAAACTGAAATGCTTTTATTTATGTATCGTTTTGTATCAGTGTGAAAGCATTCATGCAATTACCTCTGATTATCCTGTATCTGCTTAGTTTGACAGTACTTTAAAGGTGTTATATAAATAAAGTTACTGTTAGTAGTAGTAGTAGAAGTATTTATTGTTGTTGTTGCAATTAGTAGTTTTGTGTTTTATATCCCATCCAAAGGAATACTTTATTTTTTTATTTCTGGTAAAACAGTTTGTTCCCTGTTTGTTTGTTCAGCCCTGAGGTTTTGTTTGTATATTGATGATAAATATTTGTCTCTATAGTTAATAAGTAAAAATGTTGTTGTTCTTTCCAAGGCTGAATAAAGATAATCACATGTTTGTTTTCAGCCAAAGTAAAAGAATCACTTTTATCTAACCCATTACAGCAGACATCACATTCAAATCCCAACATTATTATGATGCGTTTGTGAAAAGTTTACATCTTTTCAATGACATAAGGACGTTCTTTTTATCTACTCAGCAGAAGTCTATGAACTTCACAGCTCGCTGCATAAGTGACGGTTCAGTCTGAAGTCTTCTTGTTGAGTAATTTTCTGTGGCATGGCGACATGTTCACCCAGAGTCCTGAGTAAACATCCACGCATCCTCACGTGGCGTGTTGTGACCCAAGAACTTGGGTCGGTCTGAGGACAGCTGTGGGCAGCGGCAGGAATCAAACAGTCAGAGCTCGCAGTCTTGATTAAATCCAGATGATTCAGTGGCGTGATGAAAGTTTTTGTAAAGGTGATGATTAAACCGGGTAAAGCCGTCAGTGCTTATACAGTATGATACATTATCCCATCAGCTCCATGTTCTTTGTGTCATGGACACTGTCACCACACAGTCAGGATATTTCCATCGTGTATCTAATTGAAGCGATATAATCACTAGAATGCATCAAATGAGGCAGAAATTAAAAAGAAGTGGTGCTCTTGCAACATGCCACCATTTAAGATGATCTGCCAACAGGCAAATAAATCTATTACCACTCAACATAAGAAATGCTTCAGTGAGTTTTATTCAAATGAAATCACTGCAGCAGCACTGAGAAGTTATTAAACTTTCTGCAGCACCTTCTTTCCAAATAAATAACACTTCTGGAAGAGTAGTTGTGTTCTTTTACACATTAGTGAGTTTAGGATTTAATATAGTAACATTCTATACGATATCTATATAACATTCGTTAAAAATATGAGTCAGCTTCATGTGTTTCCATCTGTAATTGAATGTTTTTGTCACTGACAGTGTCCAGCACTCATTTAAAGTTATAATTATATTTGTATCTGATCTTATATACAGTTGTTGGCATTTCTGTTGCTTCATTGAAATGTATGTATATAACCATATACCATTATACAATGTAGCGCCATTGTGGATCCTTGAACAACACGAGTTCCAGCTTCCAGATATTAAGAGTGTGAGCAAACCTTCAGCCTCATGATGAAGAAGCACATTTCAAATAGTTTCCAGTTCTTTTTATTGACCTCATTCACACATATACATACACACAGACTTTTGGTTAGTGTATCAAACACAAAATACTGTACATGCACAATTTGCAAAGGTGTTGTTTGCCCTGTTTTAGCCTCTGCGCGATTTGGCACAGATATTGATTTGTAGAAAGAGGCAAGTTATTGTATTTGCATTGTGCATTGCTCTTCTCAGCCTAAACTGGTGAAGTTTCTATATTCGCTATCATCTACTACAGGACGCTGACAGGTTGTTCAAGTTGGTCGTCTTTACTCAGCGGGCATGACCATGTCCAGGTAGACCTTGATCTGCTCGATGATGTCGTTGAAGTAGTTGCCGTATGCGGGACGCAGGTGTTCCTCGTATGCGCCCAGCACTGATGAACGGGCCTTGTCTACCAGGGGTCCTACCTCCTCAGCGAAGCCACTGCACAAAACAGGGATGACACATGATAAAAGAAATCTCTTTACATCTCAGTGCCTGGAGAAGCTTTATGGGTTTTCTTTAACTTTTGTGTTATATTTTCAGAAGAAATTGTGAATTTACATCAACAACATTTCAAAGCAAATTTGAAGTTTAAATTGATACATTCCATAAACTTGGCAGTTTGCGAATAATTCCCTGAAACTTCTAAAATGTCCTCACAGGGAGGGTGTTCTCAGTGAAGACTCACCTGGCAATCTTAGCCATGGCCTGGAACTCGGGCTTGGTCTGCACACCTTCCACGTAGGTCTTGGCCTCCTTTCCGTGTTCGCTTTCACCGAATTTCTCCACTAAAGGAGCAGCAGCCTCCTGGAGCTTTTGATAACTGTTCATCAGCCTCTTATAGAACATTGTTTTCATTGCAGTGTACTTGTCAACCAGCTCCTGCGATGGGGTGGGGACCTCACACAGGCTCATGGAGACTTGAATGAAAAAGAATGATAAGATTGACATGTTAAAACCCAAAAAACTGATTAGAATGTGTGATTTCAAAAGAGCAAATTGTTAATTGCAACTGTTTTGGGGGGGTTGTGTGATTGTGCCTTTGAGGCCAAAAAAGCTGCTTTGAATTTTTTGGGTTTTTGATGATTGTGTCCAAAAATCTGATTTATTTAAACAATTGTGTGAAATGTTTTAGCTTCAGCAGCTCAGTGTCTTTATCTTGCAGGTCAACCACAGTGCAGGAGAGCCGTGCAACAGTATTAGGTTATTGCAACAAATAAAAACATGAGCTGCAAAGCATCTACATTCAGTCATTTGCCTCAAAAGTAAAAATCCAATTCCTTAACTTCAGTTTTTGTAATTGCATTGTCTTACCCTGCAGAGCCAGGATCAGTGCCAAGGTATATTTTGCATTCATCTCTGAAACAAACGAAAAAAAGAAACGTTCACAATCAAACTCTTTTTGAATCAATATTCTTTTCCATATTTTACATTTTAACCTTAAAGAAATGATAAAAAAGTTGATGAAGCTGCAGAATGCAAAAACTATGAACTTTAAATATTATTAAAAAATAGATGTTTCAGTGAAATGTGTTGAGAAGAGAAGCTGCTGCAGTAAAAAGAGAGGTTACCTGCTGCTGTGTTGGACGTACAGATCCAAGATGTGACAGTCTTCTCTGAAAGCGAGTTGTCTGTAACTCGGAACTCACATCTGGACAGGATGATATAGGGGGGGACCGCAAACAAACGTCATCTGATGAGTAGACACACACCTACACACACACACACACACACACACACACATGAGCATGCACATGAGCACACACACACCCACACACACACTTTCACCTAAACAAAGTCCAGTGTACATGATATTCACTTTAAATACTGTATGTGGAAATATGACTCAGAGTTATGCAATGTTCCTCAAATGTAGGTTTATCTGTTTCTATATGGCAGTGCACTTGGATGCTGGAAAGATGTCCCAGTGCATGCATGAAATCCTAGTCATGTCTCTAAGGGCATGAGAAAAAGTAAAAAGAATAAACTTTTTAGTGCTACTTGTGTGTTACCTGCTGATAATGTTGATTAGGTTAACTCTTGCTTGTTAGCAAGTCACTGCATAACGTTGACTGCGATCGGAGTCAAATGGTCTGCAGGTCAATCAACTAGGATCTGTCTAGACACATAGCGCTGAACCCTGAGTAATGCATGCTGAGACTCATTCCTAACCTTTCACCCTCATACCCTGAGACTGACCGACAGTAATAAATGATCCATTAATATTCTTTTGTTTCTCTCTCTTTCTTTTTACCACTATGTCTCACTCTTCCTTCACTGTAATTCTACATATAAGTTAGCAGAGCTAAAACTTAGCAGCCATAGCTTCGAGAGAAGGAATAAATAAATCACCAAAACCAAGACCAAAGGTGACGGAAACGTCACCCTGCAAAATGTCTCATTTCAAATGGAATCTGCAAACAATGCTTTTACATTATTCCATTTACATTGGTGAATCTACTGTCTGGTTTTAATTGTATTCCCGAAATGTATTTTCCCTCTTATGAACTTTGCCTGTCTCTGATTTGCTTGCAGGACAAACTGCTCGCATGTAAAGTTTTATTACAAACTGATTCTTCCTGTATTTGACACAACAGGTAAAGCCCGGTGAAAACGTCGAGCCATGATCTGTTCAGGAATTACACATAAGACACGTGCCCAGAACAATACTTTATTGTGCTTTAGTATGAATCAGTTGCATTAGTTGCTTCAGATGGCATGTAGCTGTCAATGCTTGTCTGGATCTTGTCCCACATGGAGCTTCTGACATTAGAGGCCCACTCAGCATAGCTGTTGGTCACAGGCTGGATGTGGTCTTCATAGTAAGCACCAAAGAAGCCCACTGCTGTCTTCCCAAAATCCTGGACTTTAGCTTTTGCTTCCCTGGGACAACCACAAGTACACAGATGAGTAAAAAGATACATCTGTGCACACAATCACAGTAATGTGTGCACAAATTACATTTTCTGGTGGTTCTGATAACTAGCAATCATTTACAGAGAGTTTCAGCTTGCTCACAGATAGTGAGCTGTCACAAAGTACCTGGCCTTCTGCACCAGGCTCCGCAGTAGTCCCGGAGAGTCTGGTTGATCTGGGGCGAGTGTTTGGGCCGACAGTGGCACGCACACTGCAGAGGAGGACGCAAAGATGAAGCTGGAAGCAAACTCGTAAAGGAACTGAGACTGAAGACAATTTGTAAAAGCCTCACCTTGCATTAGTAACACCAGACCAAACACAAGCACTTTTGTATGCATCTGCCACAGAGATGAGATGTAACCATTGTAAACTCATTTTACTGCACAAATGTATCCGTTAGCTCGTTCAACAAGACAATCACAACAAAATCATAGATTTCAAAGTAAACTGTAACCACAGATTAACAACACAGCAAACATAGGTAAAGAAGTGACAATGGCGATTGTACCTTTTCCTCTGACTCTGGTCAACACCAGGTTTAAAGAAAGAACGTGTTATCAAGCCACTTTATTTGTATTAGGTGACCGCAACAGAGTGCACATTGGTCCCAGTCAGATGACCATTCAAAGCTGTTGTCTTTGTTTCCTCACATTAGAGATATCAGTGATATCAGTGCAACAGCTCTTTGGATGTGACAAACTATCGCAAAGTTTCTGACTTATTTCTTATTTTGTCTCCAACTGTCAACTCATAAATAAAAAGAAACAGAAAATGCTAGTAAAGATTGGCTAATACACCTTTGAAGAGAACGGGTTTATGTTTTACTTAAAACCTGGACATTTTAGGCAACTTGTCATCCTATGGGCAAAATTCTTCAGGTTTTTAAAATGGAATTCAATTAGCATTCACATCACATCGGAGCTACAGGTCATTGGTTTAAACCATTGCCGATTATTATATGATTTATTTTCACTTGTGAATATTTGCTCTCTTACAATGTTGGAAACCAAGCAAAGACATGTTGCTTTTTAAATCTGCGGATCCTAAAATCTTGAAATCTTTTCAAGATCAACATTAGCTGAGTTCAAACACTGTCCTGATGCCCATTGGTTCGGATACCTCAGCCCATTTGGCAGATGCTGATATGTATCCAGGCCAGTCAAAGTCTCTGTTCCTGCAGGAGAGATATCAGATTTAGTGAAGACTGGAGGGAGGAGGGGGTCACATAGATAAACAGTTTCAGCCAAGCGAAGCAGTTCTGTGACCAGAGTCCACCACAGAATCAATTGAAACTTTTCACAACTCAGGCTCTGTGCCGGCTGCATGTTCTAAATGAGCGACTCGACGCTGATGTGGAGACGAGAGTTCATAACTTCGTTGCCGTCCCCACAAACCTGATCTCACAGCTGTCTAAACACACAGGATCAACATTTTCCTTGTTTTCAAAATGTGTGAACATCTGATCAGAGCGTGTGTGCGTGTGTGAGTCCCAGCCTCCTTCATCAAAAAAGTCACATTGGTTATAATACACCTTCAGGAACCACTTTATTCGGTACATCCAGCCAAAACTAATGCAATTGAGTCCTGCAATAAATTCTACCTTCTGATATTCAGCTTGATTGACCTTTATGTTCACTGTAGGTGGTTTGAGTTATATTGTATTGTAGGGGCCTTTCTGGTATAAATTATATAAGAAACAAATGTACGCAAAAATCAATCCCCGAGGGGAAATTTGTTTTGCAGCCAGGCAGAAAAACAAGAACTCACAGGAAACACAGACACACAGACTTGGGCACAAGAAAGAAAAACATCAAAACACATAAATACATCAAATAACTACTGAAAATCAAAAGCTTGTAAAACCATCAATAAAACCATAATTAAACCAAAAATACTCTGTATACTTTACTGTAGAAATTTTGAAAATACTGATGCAAGTTTTCAATATCAAAGTTTTGATTTAGGCGCTCAGTGAAAGCTTAAAGCAGGAGTCACTGCAGACAAACATTTTCGATCTCTGGGTCAAGTTGTTTCCAGTCCGCTTCATGAGGAGGTGGATTTTCCTCCACATCCAGCAGCTGAAGCTCAAACTTTTCTCAACATGTTCAGTGAACATCTGCATCAATGAAACAACTGAATGGACAATGGAGACATTGCGCTTTGCTTTTCTGTGACATCTTACTGTGATCAAAGTGAAAGTGATCTTTAGCTGATTTCAGCCCAGACAGTTGAAGCAGTGTGGCGGTAACGTGTGCAGCCTGTGACCTCCGTGCACCAGCTTCTGACCTCCACTGCTCTGTCCTCTTCACAGGAGTGGATTTCAGTGAATTGGGACTGCTGATTGATTATTAACTCAGCATAAACAGTGACTTTAGCCTGGGAGTTGTGAAATGCCTGAAAAGCAGCCATGTTGGCACTTGCCCTTTGCTACCAGGTATTGAAACAAATGAACCGTTATCTTATTATTATCTTTTAGACGCTGCTGGCAATTCTTCAATTAGGTGATCAGCTTCAGTGGCCATTCAAGAGTCATAGAGCCTGGGATTAAACAAATTATTTGAAATACTTCTGATCACAGGTTGATGAGTTGGTGTCTATAACAGACAAAAGTGTTTGACGTGTTTATCGTCACAGTTGTGCTACGTTTTAGAACGATCCAGTAAAGTTATATTCTTACTTCTCTCCTCTCAAACACTGTTTTCAATAAAAATGTAAAGAGGGGGTCAGGTTTATTTCTCATTAGTATGGAAATGAACACAACTGGATTATCTACAGACACAACATGAAGCACAATTAGATACATGTGAGTTTAAATTGAAGACTGATATGGTATGAAGAGGAGATGAAGCACATTGAAATGATCACACAGATAGGACGTCACTGTTCAGGACATTTCACGTGTCATCTAATGAAATTTTAGTTTTACACTTTGGGTTTAATGATGCTGTGTGAAGTGATACGTAAAAGGACTTCAGAAATGTGTCTGTTATTCATTTTCCATTTGGTGATTCCAGACTAAGAATACAAGCATGGAAGCTATGATTATGAGTGAAGCTATAATTGTATTTATTATGTCGTTAATTAATGTTAACAAACCTTTAATATTGTAGCTAAAGCTACATAGGTAGAGATCTTGTCAAT